TGGGGAGAAATATCTTAGAAATAATGAAATGCAATAATTACCTCTCTCACCTTACCCCCCACCTTCCTGATAGGAAGATCGGTTTCTGTTTAGTGACCTGTTAGGCTTTCATACAGGGACACCAATCCCCCCAACTCACTAAATAGTTAAAACCTTTAGGTCTGCTCTTACTTGGCAGCAGAGTGTATCTGTACTCCAAGTTCCTGTTAGACTCTATAATCCCATTTCTCTCCCAATTAATACCCAGTGAAAACTCAGTTGAGAAACACCATGTTTTCAGGACTGTCTGCAGGACATGCAGCCCATCCATTTTTCTCTATTCTGTTTACCCTGGGATTGAGTCAGGTCAGCAGAAAACAAAGTACTGGAAACAACTCAGTGATCCCTCATGGACGCTGTTAGAAACAGCCTGAGTTGTATTGAATCTGAACTGAGTTGTACGGAATCACTGTTTTCAAGGACAAGTGTCCTCTTCATGAGGACCCATTTGAAACATTTTTCAGGTCTTCATACCAAAAACTTTTAAAAATAAACTTTACAGAGAAGCACAGCATTCATAAGCATACAGCTGAATGAATCATCACAAATTATAACTACTGCTCAAATGAAAAAAATATAGAACATTACCTGTATCTCAGAAACTTCCTCATGACTTCGTCTCATCACTACACACACAGTCTTCCACAAAGGCAATAACTGTCCTGATTTCTAACACAATAGTTTTATCTGTTTTTGTACCTTTCATAAATGGAATCATACAATACGTATTCTCTTGGTCTGTCTTTGATTTACCATTATATCTGTGAAATTCATTCATGTTGTTATGGTCCCTTATATGTATATACCACAACTTATTCATGTAGGTTGTTTCTAGTTTGGGGTCATAATGAATAACAGTGCCATCCTGGTGCACATAGTAAGCATGTCTGTAAAGTACATACCTGAGTCAGATTGCTGAATTATAGGGTAGCACATGTTCAGTTTTAACAGTTATTTCAAAAGAGTTTTCCACTTTGTATTCCCACCAGCAGTGTAGGAGAGTTCCAGTTTTTCTACATTTTCACCAACACTCATTATTGTCGGTCTTTTTATTTTTAGCCATTTTGGTAGGTGTGGAGTAGTATCTTATTGTGGCCTTATTTGTCAAACTGTGTGGCTGGCTATAGGGGACACGCCACTGTGGGGGAGCGCTGCAGAGAGCACAGCACTCCCTGAAACCTGAGGGAAACTGTCTGGGGCCAGCTGAGGTAGGAGCTGGGCTCTGAAACCCGCAGAGCCTGTCCCGGGGTTGTCATGGATGAGGGGGACAAACACAAAAGTACAAACACTTCTCTGTCGGGAGAGCAGACGGGGGCACTTCTCTCCTACCAGAGAAGGCTGTGGCACATCCCCCTAAAGGGAAAGGCCCCGTTGCCCCTTCTTTTAAGGCTTTTATTGAAAATCTTATCAGAGGGGTATAACAGGAAAGCATACATATACTCATTACATTCACAAGATAAGTTTCACAGAGACTAGATACCTTTAGGAAAACAAGTGACAGGAAATCAGTGATTTACATGGGTCTGAGAGGGAACAAGAATCAACAACAGAGACTATCGATAAGGGGGAAGCAGACTTAAAGGTGTCTTAAAGATATAGGGTAAAAGGTGTAAATAAACCAAATGTCTTGACAAGGAAAGGGGTGTAAATAATGTGAATGTCCTTCGCAGCATGAGCTGACCAGAGATTTGAGGGAGGAACAGAGCACACTCTACAGAATTTATTTTCAGGCCTGATTAGATTACCTGGGATCTATCAGATCTGATTTAGGGCTGTTTTTCCCCACTCTCCTTGTTTCAAGCCTGAGCCAGGCAGGGGAAGGAACCACCAAGAGATAAGAAGACTGCTTCTCAGCTGCAATGAGGACTCTGGCCACGTCCAAGCCAAGCCGAGGGGTGTGCGAGCCTTTTTGCCCCTTCTCTGTGTCCCGCAATTTCTCATCTGCTGCCAAAATTGGACCAATTGACCAGCCATGGCAAAGCAGAGAGGCAGGGGCTATGCCCCTGCCAGGGGGACAGGCCAAGTCTCCTCAGGGAGCCTGTTTCTCCAAGGCCTCCTGATTATCTCCAGCCTTGGGGCCCTCCAGCCTGTCGGCAGGGTTACATCTTCTGAAACCAGACCAGGCATTTCCCAACACTTATTATCATTTCCCAAATTCCCATTTCGATACTATCATGTGAAGTACTTATTCAAATATTTTGTCAACTTTTCTGTTAGATATCATGTCTTTTTCTAATTTATTTACAGAAGTTCTTTAACTAGTTGGAATGGGTCTTTTGTTAGTTACAAGGACTGCAAATATATTCTACCTTTTGGCTTCCTTCTTTTCTCTCTTTACGGTGGCTTTTGATAAACAGGAATACTTCATTTTAATGTAGTCAAACTTACCGCAGCTTTTTGTATCCTTTTTAAGAGTATATATTTTTTTCTGCTTGAGGATTTATTGTTTACCTTTCATGTTAAAATCAACAGTTCACCTGGGATTGATATTGTGCATGGCGTGAGGTAAGAATCAGCATTCGTTTTTTTTCTCTTATTGACATGCAACTGACCTGACACCATTTATTGAAAAGACCATCTTTTCCTCATTGTTCTGCAATGACACCTTTGTCATAAATCCAGTTTCTAGATATCAGGTCTGTTTCTGGACTCTCTAGTCTGTTCCACTGGTCTACTTGACTATTCCTGTGCCATTACTACACTGACTACTGTAGTTTTATATTAAGACTTGATGTCTGGTGGAACAAGTTCTTCAACTTTGTTCTACAAGGTTTTCTTAGCTTTCTTTTCTTTTTGCATTTCCATAAAATACCTTAAAACCAACTTGTTAATTATTATTTTTAAAAAGTCTGTTGGGATTGGTTTGAATCTATACTTAGCTTGATCAATTTGGGGATAATTGACTTCTTTACAACACTAAGCTTTCCAATCCATGGACATGACCTTTCTCTGCTTATTTAGGTCTTAATGTCTCTCAATGTTTTATAGTTATTTTTCCCATGTAGGCCTTGCACGTCTTTCATTTTTCTCTAAACACTAGATTTAAAAAAAAAAAAAATATCCTCACCCAAGGACATGCTCATTGATTTTAGAGAGAGAAAAGGGAAGGCAGAGAGAGAGAGAAACATCAATGTGAGAGAGAAACATAGATCAGCTGCCTCTTACACAGGCCCCAACTAGGGATGGGACCCACAACCTAGGTATGTACCCTGACCAGGAATCGAATCCATGACCTTTCAGTTTACAGGGCAATGTTCCAACCAATTGAACCACACTAGCCAGGGCAGAATGTTTTGATGGTATAGTAAATATGAGAAGGTTTTTTCTGGATCCTCTAGTTTGTTCCATTGGTCTATTTAACTATTTGTGTGCTGATACCACATTGCCTTAATTAATGTAGCTTTAAAATTTTTTTAAATTCTATTTTAATTGTTCATTGGTGAATGTGTTTTTACTTTTATGAAAATGAATTGTGTTACTCAGTGCTTCCCTACATGGTGTTCCACAAAACACTATCCCACTTGTTAATTTAGTTTCTTTATTGTGGGACTTCTACAGCCTTTAATGTGCTAATATAACATCTCTCAAACTTACTTTGGCTATACTTATTCAATTTTCAACAAATATTATAGTCAGGTATCAATCAGGATAAAAGTGTGGAAAACAGAAATTATTCTAGGTGTTTTAAGCAGGAACATTTAATACAGGATATGTGCCTACAAAAATCACTGGGGGCTGCAAGAGCAGGTGCTTGGCTAAGCTTATAAGAATGACTTCCAGGTGACCACAGAGTAGATGCTTCCAAGGGAGGCACTACCAGTGAGGCCACCACTCAGCTACTCAGCCCATAAACTCTTTATTCTTGATGCTCTAACCATAACTGCTTGTCAATACCCAAGAATGTGAATATTTTGTGCTCATGTCAAAACCCTCATATTTCCATGACCTTACTTGTCACCACAAAACAACAAAAGAAAAAACAAAACAAAAACCAAGGGACAGTTGCACCCTTCCACCCCAGATGTCTCACAAGTACCTCTGAAAGGCAAAACCAATTTTGCACCCAGAACTATAATCTATAGCCCTCTCTGCAGGATGAGAAAGAAACCTAGGAGGGCAAAATGCAGACTGAGCTTTCTGAGCAATAGTATCCACCACAAATTATCAAGGGGCTGGTATTATGAGCCAAACACTTTTCCAGGCAGAGAATACATCTGTGAGCTTAGTATATAGTTAAAAAGGCAGGTGTTTAGCAAGTTAACAGGATACCTGCTTCCCACCTCTGACAGAATTGCGATAAGCATCTCTCCAAACTAGTGTTTTATGAAACAATATGGTCATGTTTTCCTCTTGGTACTGAAGTGACACATTTGTGCTTCACTTCTATGAATTCATGTGTGATGTTCTGGCATACATTTGGCATATAAACTTTACATTCATCTTATTTCTCACTCTAATTTTCCCTGTGCTCCTAAGTTCTGATTTAGTTTTAATCATAGTACATTTAATCAAAAATACCTGTGTACTAGGTATTTTTGTAGGGTAACTCAAATCTTCATTCTAGAAAAAAGGCATATAAAGATCAGTCATTTGTCTGTGTGAAACCCCAAAGTCACACATAAGGATTTGGTCCACTCACAAATTTGGACTGCTGTCATTTTTGTTGGCTTCACAAATTTGATAAAGTATAAATGTAATATAGAAGCATTTATCTCATTTCTGGTTTCACTTTGGTACTGAAAGACTAATGAGAAGATTAAAAGTTGAAGCAACATGTTTTTTTGAATAAAAAATTAATATAACATGCCTTACAGTATATTGTGATCATTGGTTTTATTAATATATAATAATTAATCTTAGCCATAATATTCTATATTCCTATATTGTAATTTAATTAGAAAAATAAACCAACAACAAAGCCTTGCCACCTTACAATCAATTTGAAGTAAGATGTTCAGGGATAACATACAAAAGAAAATGTAGACAGGCATGCATTTAATTTTGACCAAACAAAAAGGTTTGATATATTTTGGCTCATAAAGCAAGATGATAATATTTATGATTTTTAAAAATTCACTGGAACTTTTTCTCTAAGTTGGTTTTTTTGTGATACGTTTTCTTGAATTCCATCCATGACTGCCACAGTAAGAGTCCTGGGATCAGAACCCACACACTATTGAAAAATACCAGATAGACCCAAAAGTAGAGCCAATTGCTGTTGTTGAGGTTGGGGCTTCCCATAAGCCAGTCTGGAGAGAAGGTCATCCACCCACCATACAATTCACACACACATAGAGTAATCTGTATGAAATGCCTGTTAAAGAGAAAGAAACAAGGGATGAAACCACCAGCTCAGTACTCTGAATAATGACATCTTTTCTTTAATGGCAGCATCAACACAATCTACCAGGACAGAAAAGCTCTCTGAAGTTGGACCTCAGTTTGTGTGTGGTGCTCCTTTGATGGGACAAGTCAATCTAATTAATGGAGACCAATGTTTTCCTTGAAGAAGCAACACTGTCCTTTCTAGAGGACTATTCTCAGAGTTAAATAAAGTCATTCGGGTATCCTGTCCAATTCTTAGGAAGATATAGTGGACCCTGGATGTGAATCTCACTATGAGCTGTAGTTTCACCTGCTGAAAAAGTGATAATAATAATAGTTTCTCCCTCAATCTTGTGGAGATTAAATTAGATAAATAGATAAAGGGCTGAGCATTATAATAAGTACTCAACAATGCAGGTATTATAAATGTTTGAAATAATAAATGGGTGCATGTAACAAGTCTACAACTAAGATCATGGAATCAAAGATATGTCAAGGCATGAAGGAGCAATTTAATTTTGACTGCTAACAACCTATGAAAAATTGGGTGGGAGAAAAGTGGAATAAATGACCTCCGAAGTCTCTTTCAAGTCTGAAATTTAATCATGAAACTTTATATAAGATTTATTCGATACAACATGGTAGAAAACTGAATGCAACTGTACACATCTGACATTGTTTTAGGGAATCATCCCTAGGTTAGCAACCTATTTGTCCCAGGTCACTTTGTCCCTAAGAAGGAGAGGAAGGAAAAGAGAAGGAGGGAGGTTCAAAGTATCAGAGTCTGACTGATGGATGGCCAGTCTTCCACCTTTTTCCTTTCTCTCTGCATACTTCTGCCTTCTTCATGCCCTCCATAACCTGAAAGGATTTATTATTTATCTGGCATGTCTAACTCAAAACTGCATAAGAAAATTTACTTTGTATTGAGTGGAATAGGAGTTTTCTAGAGTGATTTGGGGGAAAAAAGGGTAGAAATATTACCCTTTTATTCTTCAAAATATTGGTGGCAATCATCTAGTGCTGTTAATACCATGCTTGCCTATACAATTGACTAGGTTATTACTACATATTTGTCATATTTTAATTTTTGAATGGCCTGAAATTATCCTACTGCCACCATGATCCTTATCTAATATCAAACAATTTTTGTTTCTACTCTACTTTTTGTCTAACAGAGAAATGTGTTCATAATCTACTACAAATGTTACTTAGGCATTGGGACCACTAATGTTTTTCCTTTTTACAGCAGGACAGGAGAAGGGCACTTACCGATAATACTTCTCTTTGACTATGGCATAAATAAGGACCAATGCGAGAGACCCATCCAGGATAACAGTCAGAATTTCCAAAGACACGATGGTTGGGTCAAAATTAAGCCATCTTGCATCAGCTTTGCCATATTCTTTCCCTAAAAACAACATTTTTATGACAGTCAATGAAAATGACCTTTTTTTTTTTCTTATGGAGGCAATAAAAGGAATAGCTGCCATTTTCTCTACATTTTTCATAATGCCTTAGGGGAAGGCAAGAGAAGCCCTGAGATGAAAATGCATTTGCCACCCAACACAATAATAATATGTTATACTGGTAAAATAATTTACAGTTTCCAGGGTGCTTTCACATGTGTCCTCTTCAACCCTCCCTTTTAGAATTAAGATTTTTAAAAAATTTATTGGCTTGGCCAAAAAGTCTGTTACGTTGTTTTCTGTACGAAGGCTCTAGCAGTGCTTAGTTGTCTTTAACTTCATTCAAAACAATTTTGTTAGATTGTTTGTCATATCAGCGTGCATTTAAAAAAAACTTTCAAAATTGGTGAATTTTTGTGCAGCCATTTTAATATTGAAGATGGAAGAAAATACACAACATTTTTGGTGTATTACATTTTATTATTTCAAGAAAGGTAAACATGCAACTGAAAAGCAAAAAAAAAGATTTGTGCAGTGTATGGAGAAAGTGCAGTGACTGATTGAACATGTCAAAAGTGTTTGTGAAGGTTCTTAGTACTATTGACATTTTGGCCAAATATTAGCAGCACCCCTGGTCTCTACCCACAAGAAACCAATAGTGGGAGATAGCCCATGTACTCATAAAGTTATTGGTGAAAATGAAAAATGTCTTTTATTTTATGGAAAAAAACATGACAGACTTTTTGGCCAATCTAATATTTTTTTAGAGGGGGAAGGGGAGCAGAAAGTGAGGGAGAGAAACTTCGATGTGAGAAACACCCATCAGTTGCCCCTTATACATTCCTTGATCAGGGCCTGAACCCACAACCCAGGCATATGCCCTGACTGGGAATCGAACAGGTGACCTTTTGCTTTTCAGGACTATGCCCAACCAACCGAGCCACAATGGTTAGGGCTTCACCCTTCCCTTTTCATTATAAGTAGCAGAATTCTAAATTAATTCAACATAGTCAGATTTTACAAAGATTATCTTCAATAATTATCTTGGTAAATACAACATAATTCCTTACTTTGAAATTTCAATATAAAACTGTAAGTATAATTTAGATGCATGAAAATTATTAGAAAATGCTTATTGAAAATTACATGTTTATTAATAACTGAAGAGAAGTTAAGTGCTAAGGGGGCAGAAGGGAAGGGAGAGGAATAATAGAGCCTGAACAACAGAATGAAACCAAAATGGACAAAAGGGGTACTTCAGTCTGCTACAGGGACAGAATTCATTAACAACAGACATGACAAAAACTGTCAATTGTGCTGACTGGTGGAGCGGGCATGCCCTAAGAAATTTTTCCAGACCCCATTACTGGGATAGTTATTCAGAAAGTACCATGAGATATGAAAGCCTTTAGAGCTAGACTGAGAGCCATGACTGGGTGAAGCCATATTCCCCTCCTTTCTTTTTTAACTTTCCTTCTTTCTTTCTCTCTTTCATTCCCATCTCCCTCTCTCCCTCCTTCCCCTCCCTTCCTCCTTCCCCTCCCTTCCTCCTTCCTCTCCCTTCAGCCTCCCTTCTGGCCTTCACCGTCCCCCCACCCCGACCGCCCCTTTTTTAATTTCTCAAAGTAATGCATTTTGGACCTAAGGTGTCAAATAATCAGAATCCAAAAACAAAAATCCCCACCTCTACTCTCCCTTTAAATACTGTTTCCCATCAATTAGAAAAGGTACAGATAGTAAAAAATTAGTGACATGTTCTGATTGCTCTAAACAGCACAAAGCTCTAGTTTCTTACTGGCCAAAGTAGGATGGGGTGGAGGGGGAAGGGTTCTAATGAATGGCTTTTTTGAGAGAAAGGATGGCCAGTAAACAGGATTAGCTATTTAATGAGATAATACATAGACACATGCTGAAAGGAGATTCTATGAAAGTCCAGATAGAACCAGCAGGTCAGGAAGCTCCAGCTTGTCCTTAGCCAACCACTAGCCATGAACAAACTAGAAAACAACATAACAGAGACAGTAAAAATTCTTCCTCTAAATTTAAGCATACATGCAATAGGCAAAATGTACCCTCTAGTGTATCTAAAATCTAACAAAATATCATAAATAAAATGTTAATGGTTTAGGAATTAAGAAATTAGTGGGTGTTTAGACATTCAGAAATATAACACCATTCATTCATTAATTCAACAAATCTTTTGGAGCATATGGAAGGCTCTGTGCTAGCAACAACTAGGACACAAAGTCTGCCTGCAAGTGGCTCCCATTTTAGTGAGGTCAAACCATGTGATGAGCAATGGTAGAAGTATGGGGACATGGAGGAAGTGGCACCTGAGCCAGACAAGGGAGATTAGGTGTTCTGACCACTTGTTTTCACATCATTGGTGAGCGAAGGATTTTGCCCTAGGGTTATGGGGATGACACAAATACTACACACAACACTGGACAGATGAGACTAATGGCAGTTTCTTGGCCACATATACTCACAGCCTGGGGGAGGAGGGCACTGCACCATGCAGTGCCATGTAGGGGTTTGCACTTGGAAATATAGTGAACAAGGAGGGGCTGTGAGAGGCAGGCTGTGTAGTAACAAAAAGGTTGGGTAACCTCTGGTTCTTGTGGCAGGACAGCTGGAGGTGATTGGCTCATTTGAATAATTCCAATGGCTGGCAGGGAGCTTAAGCCCACTGCTCAGAGATGCATGGGCATTGTGCCCAGTCCCACCAAAGAGGGTTGTTTGGCAGAGGGACCTTAAGTGAGAAAGCAGGGTGGGAAAGGGACTTACAGTTAGGTTATTTGAGGCCCTCTGGATTTTACTAGATATCATCAAGTCACACATAACATTGGATCTGAATTTCAGCCCTTACACCGCAAGGTGTTACCCCTGAACTGGATGAAGGAGAAGGGTGTTTCAGGGAGGAGCATGTGCAAAGGCCTGGAGCTGAGAGAATGCAGTATGTCTGAACCTATACAAGAGATCTGTCTGGAAAAAGTCCAGCCATTGTTAATATAACAAGAATGGTCCGTGGGACATCGATGTAACCTGGTAGCCAAGGAGAGTAGACTGGAATGCGCACATGTGAACAATGATGATTTCACTGTACTAATTACTGGGGGGCAGTAGACATCCTTGAGTAGGCATGTGTACTCTGTGGCCATCACATTCAAAATGAATGAGCAAATAGAGCAACAAATCTGCATCAAATTTTGCATTAAGCTTTAACACTTCTCCACAGAAACTATTCAGATGACTCAGAAGGCAACAGGTGATTGGTAGCTTCATCACAACAATGTGCCTACTCATACATCATGTCTTGTGCAAAGTTTTTTGTTGAAACATCAAATCACCCAGGTGACTCAACCCCGCTACAGCCCAGATTTGGCACCCTGCAACTTCTGTTTTTTTCCCCAAACTACAATTACCTTTCTAAAGGAAGAGATTTCAGACCATCGATGAGATTCAGGAAAATACAACAGGGCAGCTGATGGTGATTGGGAAAACTGTGTGAGGTCCCAAGGTACCTCCTTTGAAGGGGACTGAGGCACCATTGTCCTATGTACAATGTTTCTTGTATATTCTTTAATAAATATCTCTACTTTTTATATTACATGGCTAGATATCTCGTGGACAGACTTCATATTTAATTCAGCAAAGCTGAAGAGATAGTTACGGGAGCCAAGGTTAATGCTGGAGAGGAAAGCAGGGATGGGGGTGGTGGATAGTAAAAGCAGGACAGTTATCCATCCATTCCAGTGTATCAAGTCTCTGGTACCTCCTCATCTATTGCTTAACCTTGACCACCTCTTTGCTGGTTAAATGAAGCATTAATAAGCCTACTGCTGTGATCATTATCATTTATGTTGTGTCTGCCAGGTTTAGGCAGAGGTGGAGAGGGAAGGAGACATAATGTACTAAAGGCAGGACCCAAGCCAGAGCTGCGCTCTTTACCACAGAGTAGGGATTAGGAGATGATAGGGGTGACAAAGACTTTCTTACTCCTCCGAGCCTCTTCTTGACAAGCCCTCAACTTTGGGCTCTGTTCTTGGCCTTAGACTAGTTTTAGCAAGAATCCTGCTGAGTCAGTTTAGTGTAAGTCGCCCATTCTTACTGTCTTTCTTTTCCAGTTTTACTGAGATTATAATTTACATAAAGCACTACATAAGTTTAAGGTGTACAGAATGATGACTTGACTTACATATATTGTGAGATGATTACTATAATAAGTTTAATCAGCATCTATCATCTTACATAGATTTAAAATAAAAGAAAAAAAATTTTTTTTCTCTCTTTGTGATGAAAACTCAGGATAGCTTTAGGGCCTTAACAATTTACAGCAGTGTTAACTATAGTCATCATGTTGTACCTTACATCCTCAGTAATATTTATCTTATAACTGGAAGTTTGTACCTTTTGACCATTGTCATCCAATTCTCCCATTCTCTATCCCCTGCCCTGGTAACCACAAATCTGATCTCTTTTTCTCTGAGTTTGGGTTTGCGTATTTGATTGTTTTTTAGGTTCCACATATAAGTGAGATCATACAGGATGTGTCTTTTTCTGTCTGATTGGTTTTACTTAGCCAAATGCCCTCCATCCATGCTGTCACAAATGGCAGGTTTCCTTCTTCCTTTTTTTTTTTTAATGGCTGAAAAATATTCCATTGTAAATACATTTTCTTTATCTATTCATCCATAGTGAACACTGTGTTGGGTATTGTAAACAATGTTGCAATGAACATGGGGATGCAAATATTTGATCAAATTTCTCATCCCCCACCCTCTATTATTTTATTACCCAGGCCTGCCTTCAGCAAGAAGCCTGTTAGTGGGTCTATCAAGAATCCTCCTAGGCCCGATGTTTATTCTCAGTAATTTTCCATCCACTGACCTCACTGTGCTCCTTGGTTATAAATTTCCACCTGTCTTCAGAATTGTTGTATTTGCAGTTGAGCTTGATTTCTCCCCTACTGCAAAGCCCCCACTGCATTGACCCTTTCTGAATAAAGTCTTTTTACCATCTTTAACAAGCGTCATGAGTAATGTTTCTTTAACAGGGGCTACATAATATTAACAGCCCAGCTCTATATTCTGGTGAATCAAAAGACAGCTCACAGATCAACATCAGGATGCCTTACTACAGACCCTCTGAATCAGAAAGTGTATTTTAACAAAAGTCCCAGGCAATTCGTGCTCTTTAAAGTCCAAGAAGCACTATTTTATATTATCTATTGGATTTTCACTTTCTCTAGAACAAAGAGCACCTTCACTTTTTTAAGGCGAAAATGTAGATTGAAGATGACTGATAAAAATTGACCTAGATATTTGCATTTCATGGGATTGAGCCAAATTTGGGCTATTCCTTTCTCTGATGCCAGACAGGGCAGCTAGGACAGTGACAGGCTGGAAGCTCCCGGCCCTGGGCTTCCCCAGCAATTCTTAAGCACAGTTTATTCCAGCTTACTCACCAAAAGGGTGCACAGCTGCATTTTGCTCAGTCTCTGAAAGAGAAGGAGCTGGATTCTACGTGTGGGGCTCAGGCTCCTTGAGCTGTTTTTGGCTGGGACCTGAGAGGCACTAAGGTGGACACACTTTGCTTTGAGAAGCACTAACTCTAGCTCCATTCTCTAGAAGAGTTTCCTAACACTAGTGATGAACAGTAGTCCCAACACAGATCCTGGCTGTGGAATATGATTTCAGAATCATGGAAGAAATGACATAAAAAAATGAGGTATTTCAGATGCAAAATCTGAAAGAAGTTAGCCTGTGCAAGCAGTTTTATGATAGTGGCAAAGTACCCTGTTGTTACACTGCTCATTTATTTGTCAGTGTTGACACAGTACATGGGAAGCATTCAATGCTAACTGACTGAATGTTGAATAGTGTGCATGTGGAGGATAAGAAAACTAGTTAATATCTCTGTTGAACAAGACTTTTGGAAATTATCTGCACAACCCTATCTATACTTACTCATATATATATATGCCCATTATATGAAAGTTGGTATTAAAAGTGTAAAAAAACCCCACTTTAAATACTTCAAACTCTTTAACTTGCACTTGCTACAAATATTTTTAATATACAGCTTTATTGAGATATAATTCACATGCTATACAATATAATTACTTGATTAAAGTATACATTTCAATAGGTTTTAGTAAATTTACAGACTTGAATCACCACAATCTGATTTTAGAATATTTCATTACCCACCAAAAGAAATCTGTACCTGTTATCAGTCACTCTTTGTTTCTGTCTGACATTCACCACTCGCTGACAGCCACTAATCTATAATCTGTCTCTATACATTCACTTATTCTGGACATTTTATATAAATGGAATCATACAGGTTGGGATACAGGTACTTGCTTAATTGACAGTCAAACTTGCAATAAATTTCCTGAAACATCTCAAATGCAAACATTTAAAATTACTTACACAATGAAGCAATCAAGCCATCAGAGTCAGCAATGTTTCCTGTGAAAGACAAGTAGACAAAAGGGCCTTCCTAGAGAGAAAATGAAAACATGCTCTAATTTAGCATCACAGCCCTTGGATGCACTGCAAATATATGGCATTGCATGGAAGCATCAGTCTGCCCATCCCACCGCAGCTAGTACCCTCAGAGCACTACAGGTATACAACCCCCTGGGGTGCAATACTGGGATGTGATCCCTGACCTTGGAAATGGAGAAGTGCAAAGCTAATGTTTATATAATAAATGTTATTTTTCAATAATTGGCATGATAAAATCAGGTGTGTTCTTATGAGGAAAAATAAGTAAAAAATTTTGCACAAGGTATTTTTTTCTTAAGTTTCAAAAATAATTTTATTTTACATTTTAAAATAGGTAGTGAAAGTTATATCCTAATTCATTCTTTTGGGGATTACACACAAAAGTTAAAAAATGACATACTGATTGTCTTATTGTACACTCACTTTCCCTCAAGTTGTTTGGTTATAGACTTAAATAGAGTTCCGTCTGAAATAGTCTTTTATAAATTATATTTGACATAACCAACTAAATCATTCTTAATTTGCATCAGTTAAGACAATGGTCTTTAAAAACTTATTTGAAAAGAAATGGATTCAAGATTTTGAGAGTAAATAAAAGAAAAATCTACAGTTCTACCAGCCTCAAATAACAACTATTAGAAAATGTCATGTTTTCTTGCAGTTTTCATTTTATAAATGTTTTTTAAAAACACAGTTGTGATCATCATTGGCACTTATGATTTTCTACCCTGCTTTTCTGAGAACATTAGGAAAGATCTTTTTTTCATTATATTTATCCATATACATATTTTTATTGTTCAAATACATTTGTCCCCATTTTCCTGCCACCAATTTCCCTAGACCCACCCACCCACCCCCACCTCCCACCCTCAATCCTTCCCCACTTTGGCTTTGTCCATGGGTCCTTTATACATGTTCATTGATTTGACCTTTCCTTCTTTTCCCCATTACCCCCTCCCCACTTCCCTCTAGTTACTGTCGGTTGTTTTTTCTTTCAATGTTGCTGGTTATATTTTCCTTGCTTGTTTGTTTTGTTGATTAGGTTCCGCTTATAGGTGACATCATATGGTATTTGACTTTCACGTCCTGGCTTATTTCACTTAGCATAATGCTCTCCAGTTCCACCCATGCTGTCGCGAAGGGTAGTAGCTCTTTCTTCCATTCATTCTGCTGCGTGGTACTCCATTGTGTAAATGTACCCTAGTTTTTGGATCCACTCATTTATTGATGGGCACTGAGGTTGCTTCCAGCACTTGGCTGTTGTAAATGGTGCTGCTATGAACATTGGGGTGCATAGGTTCTTTTGCATTGGTGTTTTGGGATTCTTAGGCTATAATCCCAGCAGGGGAATTGCTGGGTCAAAAGGCAGTTCCATTTTCAGATTTTGGAGGAAATTCCAAACTGTTTTCCACAGTGGCTGCACCAGTCTGCATTCCCACCAACAATGTACTACGGTTCCTTTTCCTCCACAACCTCGCCAGCACTTGTTGTTTGTTGGTTTGTTTATGATGACCATTCTGACCCATGTGAAGTGGTATCTCATTGTGGTTTTAATTTGCATCTCTCTGATGGCTAGTGATGCTGAGCATCTTTTCATATGTCTCTGGGCCCTGTGTATGTCTTCCTTGGAGAAGGAATGTCTGTTCAGGTCCTTTGCCCATTGTTTAACTGGACTGTTTGTCTTCCTGGTGTGGAGTCATGTGAGTTCTTTGTATATTTTGGGGATCAAACCCTTGTCCGAGGTATCATTGGCAAATATATTTTCCCATACAGTTGGTTCCCTTTTAATTTTGCTGATGTTTTCTTTAGCTGTGCAGAAGCTTCTTATTTTGATGAAGTCCTGTTTGTTTATTCTTTCCCTTATGTCCCTTGCTCTAGGGCACATATAGGTGAAAATATTGCTGCGTGAAAATGTGAGAGTTCCCTGCCTATGTTCTCCTCTAGGACTTTTTATGGTGTTGTGACTTATATTTAGGTCTTTAATCCATCTTGGGTTTATTTTTGTATATGGTGTAAGTTGGTGGTCAAATTTCAATTTTTTGCATGTAGCTGCCCGACTCTCCCAACACCATTCATTGAGGAGGCCCTTTTTACTCCATTTTAAGCTTCTGTCCCCTTTGTCAAATATTAATTGACTATACAGACATGTCAGTACTAGACTGTTTTGATTACAGTGGCCTTGTAATATAGTTTGATGTCAGGTATTGTGATCCCTCCTACTTTGTTCTTTTCTCTCAAAATTGCTGCAGCTATCTGGGGTCATTTATGGTTCCATATAAATATTGAAATGTTTGTTCTATATCTGTGAAATACATCACTGTCATTTTAATAGGGATTGCATTGAATCTGTAAATTGCTTTGGGTGGTATGGACATTCTGATGATATTCATTCTTCCAATCCATGAACACGCTATATACTTCCATTTATTTGTGTCTTCTTTAATTTCTTTTTTCAGTGTTCTGTAGTTTTCTGAGTACAGGTCTTTTACCTCCTTGGTTAGGTTTATTCTTAGCTACTTTATTTTTCTTGTTGCTACAGCAAATGGGATTTTTCTTTCCTGACTTCTGATTCTGGTATTTCCTTGTGGTATACAAAAATGCCTTTGATTTCTGAATATTGACTTCGTGTCCTGCTGTTTTGCCAAATTCACTTATGAGGTCGAGCAGTCTTTTGATGGAGTCTATTGGGTTTTCTATGTACACAATCATGTCATCTGCAAACAATGACAGTTTTCCTTCCTCCTTTCCAATTTGGATGCCTTTTATTTCTTTTTCTTGTCTGACTGCTGTGGCTAGGACTTCCAATACTATGTTGAAAAGAAGCAGTGAAAGCAGACAACTTTGTTTTGTTCCTGATCTTAGTGGGAAAGCTTTCAGTTTTTGCCCATTGAGTATGATGTTGGCTGTAGGTTTTTCATATATGGCCTTTATTATGTTGAGGTATGCTCCCTTTACTCCCATTTTGCTGAGTGTTTTTATCATAAACGGACGCTGTACCCTATCAAATGATTTTTCCGAATTTATTGATATGATCATGTGATTTTTGTCTTTCCTCTTGTTTATGTGATGTATTAAGTTTATTGATCTGCGAATATTGAGCCATCCTTGCTCAATATTCCCTGGAATGAATCTCACTTGATCGTGGTGGACGATCTTTTCAATGTATTGCTGGATGCAGTTTGCCAATATTTTGTTGAGGATTTTAGCGTCTATGTTCATCAACGATATTGGCCCGTAGTTTTCTTTCTTTGTTGTGTCTTTATCTGGTTTTGGGATTGGGATGATGCTTGCCCTCATACAAAGAGATTGGGAGTCTTCCGTCTTCTTGGTTTTTTTTTGGAATAGTCTGAGAAGGATAGGGGTTGGCTCTTCCCTAGATGTTTTGTAAAATTCTCTTGTGAAACCATCTGGTCCAGGGCTTTTGTGTGCCGGGAGTTTTTTGATAACTGCTTCAGTTTCACTGGCTGTAATCGGTCTGTTCAGGCTTTCTGTTTCTTCTTCATTCAATGTTGGAAGGTTATATTTTTCTAGAAATTTGTCCATTTCATCGAGGTTTTCAAATTTCTTGGATATAATTGTTCATAGTAATTTCTTACAATCCTTTGTACTTCTGTGGTATCAGTTGTAATTTCTCCTCTTTCATTTCTGATATTATTAATTTGGGTCCTCTCCTTACTTTTCTTGATGAGTCTGCTTAAAGGCTTCTCGATGTTGTTTGTCTTTTCAAAGAACCAGCTCCTGGATTTGTTGATCCTTTGAATTGTTCTTCTGAGTGTCCAAGGTTATAAGACTCCTCTCTTGTTATTGTTCTGTTTTTTGTTCCAGGTTATTTCTCCACAATTTGTTGTAATTCCATATTGGTACTGGGAGGTGGTCACTGTGACTTCCATTCCCTCCTCTGCCATCTTGTCTTCTCAGGAAAGATCTTCGATGTAATAATAGGCTAAATTCTGGCTTGTGTTAGAAAATTTACACCTTTGACAAGTATCTCATGTCAGTTTATTTTGTCTCACCTCAAACAAAAAAACCCCAAGATCTCTCTTAATAAAAGTGGCATTCAAATATCTATACCAGAGTTGAACTATTTCTTTTTCCTGCTGAAGGGGAAATTTAGGATAATTTTAAAGGCTTACGGGTTACATTTTAAATTTCAGGCAATGAAATTTGTGCAATTACATTTAGTATTTCCCCTGAAGGTTTTCCCTGAAGTATTTTTTTTGCCTCATATATCAAAAACCAATTAACTAGAATTCACTTTGATACCTGATTGCCATGTTGCTACTTGGAAGAAATTCTGCTGCTGGTCAATACAACTTTTTTCTCACTTCTTTTTACCAAAGCAATTCCTTACGTGACATTAAAATTGTGTCTCTGCCTTATCCCTGCTCAATTCTAGTACAACTTCCCAGAGGTTACCATTTATAACCACTTCTGTCTGTAGTTCTGGGGATTACCAGTATTTTTGTAAGTCATAGTATACTTACACTGCCATTTCTTTAGATGTTATCTATTAACTACCCATCAAGAAAAATTATGATTTAATTTATACTGCTTCCCCTATCTTCCCCAGTCCTCTGGTTTTTGATAGTGTCAGGGAGGAAAAATTTTCTTTTACCCTCTTAGGTTCTGTAGCTGGCCTAAGAATTAACTGATATAAGATAGAATAACAAGAGAAAAGCAAACAAATTTTATTTGATATTTTTACATGTACATGGGAGTATTCAAAAGGAAAATGAAGACCTGAAGAAATTGTTAGGCCCCAAAGCTAATATACCTTTTTACAAAAAGAACAATAAATTACAGGGATTTGAGAAGACACGGGGCTTGGGCTAGAAACAGTAAGTTGTGGGAAAGTAACTAAGAAACATATGGGGGAAACTAATGAAAGATAAGGGTTATTTGAGTAGGTTTGTTTGTATAGGTCCATTTTGTCTTCAACTGCCAGTCTCTGGTGATAAGAATGTTCTTCCCTTTGTGGTTCAAAGAGGGAAC